GATCGATCGCTTCCAGACCAAACACCGAGATCAATCGTGAGGCGATCAATCAGATCGGTCAGAGCCTCGCTCGCGGTCAGGACACCCGCTGGGGATCCCGCGATCACCTGACTTCGGCAGGGGCCCCCGAGACGATCTTGCATCCCATACCGCTCTGTAACAATTGCGGTCGAGATCTGTCCCTCGGTATCGTCACAGGTGACGGCACACTCTGTGATATATGTTGGCAATACACTGTGGCCGTAGGCGCCACAGGTAAGAGCACCGCCACACAGAGTGACCTCGCGTACCTCCAGAAGTTGACGAACTGGATCAAGACGACGTTGTCCGAGGACCAGGTCGCGAGATACATGAAGGATGGCGCACATGTCATTATGACGGGTGCGCGATCCCCCATAGGCACAGAGAAAGATCAGTTGCGGAGATTGGCCAATACGTCCAAGAAGAGGTATCAGAAGTGGGTCGAAGCCGGTAGCCCGCCTGCACACGAATGCAGATTAATGGGCGAATCCGAGGACGACCGACCTCTGTACTACCCATACGCCAATCTCATTCAACGCTTTCTCAACGACCTCAGATTCCATCATCAGATGACAGGAGCCCGCGTGAATGTCGGCAAGAAGCCCTGGAGAGTCGAGGACATGCGCGACGCGTGGGACATCCTTGACGTCAGTATTAGGACAGGACAGGCTGGTCGGAGAAAGTGGTGGCTGAACGAGGGACGCATTGACAGGCAGACGCGGCAGGCGCGCGGACTGATTACGGTTTCTCTCCCTCGAGGGGACGGACCCGTGAACAGTTCACCCAGCGCAAGCTTGCCGCGATTGCCAACGAGCTGATAGGCTCCCTCGATCCGTCACACACTGACCAGAGGGGGGGTAGTACAGGGATGAGAACCGATCCAGATACACACTCCCAACAGTCCGATGACGCCATGGAGCCGCGGCCGCCGCCGCGGCGGCCGCCGCGCCCTGCTCCTGGCGACGCCGCTGCATCCAGCGCCTCAGGCGCAGAGGACTACATGCCCGCGATGCCGCGCGCCAAGAGAGCACGTACATCTGATTACGCTGCTTACTGGCGCCACAATCTCGAGGACAGCGATTGGGGTCTTCGATACTGGAGTTATTACATCAAATGTTGGATCTACATTGCGATCAACAACGACGAGCATGTGTACATCCAGGATACACGTACAACGATTGGTTCCGCAACTGGATCCCGAGAACCACTTGGGAAACGTTTACGACAAGCTATGTCACGTACAACGGCCAGAGGGTGTGGGACCGCAGGTTCTACAAGGACGGCGACGCGTAGTGAGTCGGCCGCAAGGTCCACTGCTCAAGAGCAGAACTTCCGTTCATCAAAGTTCGCCTTGAGCGGTGGCTAATACATTCTTTTAGGCCACTTCAATCTTTCACACAAGTGGCCATACACACATAGATATCTTTTGCGATCACCGAGGCAGCCTCCTAAGGAGCAACGCCAACGGGAGTCGCCAAACAGATTTTATACATCATTTTCGTGTTCATCAACACGACATTTTCTCCTGGCCAGGTACTTGCTTTAACACAGATTTGCATTTCTTTCAGGATCGTGTTCGTCAACACGATCTTGGCATACATTTGCTTTTAGACAGACTTGTGTTTGATTTCAAGATTGTGTTCGTCAACGCGATCTTAGCATGCATATTTTAACAATTTAACAATATTGCGTCGAGAATAATCTGATAGCTGGTGGCAACACCTGCCTCGCAAATCTTGCGAGGCGGTTTGCGTTGCCTTGATGCTCAGATCTTCTTTCTCCGCCTACCTTTGTCTCATTCTTCTCCTCCCTCGAGTGCCGAAGCGTTTTGGGGGGCGCACCGAGGGGGCGGCAAAGACCGCCTGGAGAAGAAAAAGAGACCCAAGGTATCTCTTCTTACTTCACTTTGCAGCTGTGGCTTCGCTGACTTTTAGCCCAGCTGCCTTTTCAGACTTAAGGTAAAGGAGTTCTGAGGTTACGGATTCCATCCTCCTGATCCCGAGTCCTGCCTTCACAGGCGGGATTCGGGACGGGGGGTGTGTATGGAACCCGTGTAATACCCTCATATATACTCCTTATCCTTACCTCTCCCGCACCTGGCCGTTTGGGCTCAGGTGCTGAGTTGGAGCGATCGTACCTTGATCGCTTGGGAGGGAAAGATATCCATCTATCCCTCCATCTCTCTACCAACGGATCAGGGGTTCTGTACTCTTGTACTTCAACCCCATACACAGGAGGGAGGGCAAGGAGACAGACGCGAAGGAGGAGGAGGAATAGGAGGAGGAGGAGGAGGAGTAGGAGGAGGAGGAGGAGGAGGAGGAGGAGGAGGAGGAGGAGGAGTGAGGAGGAGGAGGGAGGAGGAGGAGGAGAAGTAGGAGGAGGAGGAGGAGGAGGAGGAGGGAGGAGGAGGAGGAGGAGGAGGAGGAGGAGGAGGAGGAGGAGGAGGTCATCGGCCACATGGCGCGCTCCGCTCCAGAAGCTGCCTCTCGCCTCCTCGGCGCACCCCCTCGGCCGGGGCGCCGGGCTGGCGGAGGCGGCGCGCGGGCGGGGCACGCTGGCGGGCCGACGTCGGAAAGCCTCGAGCTGAGAGAGAGAGACGGAGGAGGAGGAGGAGGAGGAGGAGGAGGAGGAGGAGGAGGAGGAGGAGGAGGAGGAGGAGGTGGAGGAGGAGGAGGAGGAGGGAGGAGGAGGAGGACGGACCTGGGTTTGCACTAATTCGGGCCAGCGCGTCCCCGGAAGCCGTGTGCGTTCGAGGTTCGACGGCGCAGCCCGCCTCTGCCAACCTGAGAGAGACGGGGGTCCATGCAAGCGGGGGTCGGCCAGAGCGCCGGTTCTTGCAGGATCCTGCAGGGCCAGGGGTGCATCGGCCTGGGCTTGCTTTTTTTGGGTCGGCGGCTCCGAGGCAACGGGCAGGGAGCGGAAGTGGCGTCCGGGTCACGGTACGGTACTGTAGCGGCCCATGACGCCGCTGCTTCGACAACCCCGCTCGAAGGAGCTGGGCAAAAAACTAGCCTGCGCCAAGCTGGCTGGAGCCAGAGCCAAGATGGCTTGAGCCAAAATGGCTACGGAGGCCTGGGCTTGCGCGCAGGATCCTGAAGGGTGTTGCGCGAGATTTTGCAAAGCCTGGCGGACCTGGGCGTGCACTAATTATTCGGGCCAGCGCGTCCCCGGAAGCCGTGTTCGTTCGAGGTTCGACGGCGCAGCCCGCCTCTGCCAACCTTTTTTTTAGAAGCAGGGAGATTTGCATTCACATACAGTCGGGGCCCTGAAGAAGGAACCCTTTTGGTTGGGGAGGGGCTCCGCGTTCCTTAAGTGTTTCGCAGCTTGCCTCAGGTTTTCCTTGTGTCTTCGATCGGAAATCGGAGTTTAACTTATGGAAAAAAGGGGCCTCGTTCCTTATTTAGGGTTCCTTAGGTCAAGGCCCCGACGGTAATTGTTCGACGGTGCGCGCGAGTTTCTTGGATCTGCGCTGGAGCCTCCTGGCGGCGCCAGGCGTGCTCCGCGCGCCAGGGAGGGTTCCAGCGCAGATCCAAGAAATCCTAGGGGACTGTCGAAAGTTTCGGTTTATGCAAGTGTTTCACTTTCGACGCTTGGCCAGGGCTTGACCGTGCACGCCACCACGCCACCCAGGGCGCTGAAGGTAGCAACCGTGCATCATGATAAATGAAACAGGGCCACTCGGCGACGGCCGTATAGTCTGATTGCTGTCTGGAGAGAGATTCTTCAGTCTGGAGAAAGTTTTCTGGATCCCCCTCAATTCGAAGATCAGCGACATCAGGCGAAAGTGTAGTCTTGGCAGGGCACGAGGCGCGCACACGGGGAACCTTACGTAGTCATTCGAGTTTCTGTTAAACGAAGAGCAGCTGTCGCACACAGTGGTTATAGCCTCCTTGCCCTCTCCCTCTTGCTCCTGCTCCTCCGCGTCCTCTTCGCCCTCGTCCTCCATCTCGCATGCATCCTCCTCGTCTCCGCTTCGTCCTCGCCCGCCTCGTCATCTGCGTCCTCCTCCTCGTCCCCGTCAGCGTCTTGTGCTCCCCGCCTACGTCCTCCTCCACCTTCCTCGTCATAATTCTCTCCCTTTTCGTGCTCCGCCTTCTCCTCCTCCTCCTCCTCCTTCGTAGCCATTGCGGCTCAAGACGGCACCCTTTTTGGTTTGCGGCTCAAGCGAGCCACAGCATGGTTTGATTGGTTTCATTGTTCTCGCACCTTGAGTGCGTTCCTCTACGGTGTCCATGGACGAGGCGTCTGGCCATGTCTCTTCGCTGGCTGGTCGTACGTTACGTCTCTTATCTTCTGCGACTGGTCGCCACCATTCGGGACTCAACATGGCCGCTTACGCAAAGCGGCACAGTTTGCCGAACGCCCTGAGGCGTCGGCTCCAACATCTTTCGGCTACACACCAATTTCTGCGTCACCACACAGACATTTGGGAGGAAGAGTTCATGGCTGAACTTGAACTGCAGCTGTAGGCGTCTTTCCCTGGATTCGTTCATCCCCCCTCAGTTTGTGTGCGGAGGTACTCTGGCCAGTCTGGCCAGCGACCTCGCAATTGTGGTTTGGATCGGATTACACCAGAGTTTCAGCCGCAGGCAGCACAACAACAGTGTTCGTACACGTCCGTTCCGGAGTTCTTGACTGCCACATGTGCACAGGTGCTCTACGATGCCCAGTTGGCTTCGTACCAAAATTTAGTCAATGATCAGAACGACTCGATCGCGGCGCTCCGTGGTGTCTTGGGCAAAGTTGCAGTTGGTGCCCAACCTCCTCCGTCGGACTCCTCTTCAGAGGCCTCTTCCACATCGGGATCGTCACATGCGGAGTCCGCGAGTATTCCTGCGGAGCGCATTGCGGTCCTCTGTGATATAGATACTTTTGCTCTGGGGCAAAAAGTTCGCTTCGATCTTGGGGACAGGCCTGAAGACATCACAAAACTGATTGACTCCAGAATCCAGAGTGCATTGGGAGATTTCCCCCCAACGATGTCAAACTCGATTGTATACGCTATTCCCGAGGCGATCTCTCAGGTGATGGCAGGTGCTCTTCCCGGCGCGCTTGAGAAAGCGCTGGGGCCTCGACTCGACGAGCTGTCGAAGACCATGGATAAGCAGATTCCTGTGCTTTCGGAGCGAGTCGACGCTGGCATGGGATCACTTCCAAATCATTCCAGCATGAAGGACGCAGACTTCGGGGAGCAGACCGTTGAGTACATGCGTGAAGAGTTTGAGATTCGTTTTCAGACCCTCGAGGCGCAGCTGGCGCTGCTGGGGCAAAAGCTGGACTGCGCCACTTCCGCGCCGCCCCGTTTGCAGTCGAGCAGCCCTGGGCTCAGAGGCCGTGCCTCGAGCTCTACCCGCGGCGGCGTTACAAATGTTACTATGTGTCGATCTGGTCGTCATTGTCATGGGCGTGATTGTGTCTTCTCTCATCCAGGTGGGCGGCTGATCGACGATGCCGCCTCTGCGCCGCTGACCCTGGCCCGCTCGCAATCGCAGGCAGCCTGCTCTATTGGTGCGCCTCCGCGCATCGAGCCCAGAGCGAGACCGATCGACTACTCCAAGTTCGACAACCTGGACGTGGATGACAGTGCACACGACCTCATGAAGGGCTTTCTGGCCGACGTCGTCCGGGAAAGCTTGGGAAACGATGAGCTCCCGCCATTCCCAGGGGTGGACTAGTTGTGGGTCGTCTACCTCTCCCTGCATTTCCTGTTCAGCGAGGGTATTATTTAAAAAGGCTTCCGCCTTCGCTCTCTCCTCGTCGAACGGGGTGCGGGTTTGCCTTGTGTTGAAATGTCACAGACCATTGGGTACGCTCCACATCCTCCTCCTCCTCCTCCTCCTCCTCCTCCTCCTCCTCCTCCTCCTCCTCCTCCTCCTCCTCCTCCTCTCCTCTCTTCCGTCCTCCTCCTCGCCTGTGATTCTCTGCCTCCTTCAATGGAGGGAGGGGGGGCTCGTAGCCAGTGGCGCCCTCAGCTCCCTCCCCCCCCCCTCTGTGGTGCCTTTTTGGAAAGCCAGCCAGTGTTGCGTCCTGCGCGCCCCCCCCCCTCGCCCCAGGGACCTGGGGGGGCGCCCCGTTGAGGCCGCGGGTTCCGACGGAGCCCAGCGTCCCTGCATCCATAGAAAAAGCGCAGGGGCCCTGCGCCTTTGCACGGTGCAGGCCTTTGTTGTAGCGGCCGCAACAGTGGATCGTGTCCCCCGAGCGCTGCCACCTTTACCTTTTACCTCTTGCTCGTCCTCTTTCTCCGTCTTCCTTCCTCCTCCGCTCTCTCCTCCTTCCGATCATGATTACCCTTCTCCTCCCACTCCTCCTCGTCCATCTCCTCTTCGTCATCTTCCTCCTCTTCCTCCTCCTCCTCCTACGACGACGACCTGGATTTCAACGGGAGCCTGGGTTGCTCGGCGCCGCCGCGCCCGCAGCGCCCGTCCCAGGCTGGAGGGATAGACCTCTCAGGGGCGCCAGCTCCTCCTCCTCCTCCTCTTTCTCCTCCTCCTCCTCGTCCTCCTCCTCCTCCTTCCTCCTTCCGCCCTCCTCCAGCGCCCCTCGCCCGTCCTTCGCAGGCTCAGGGAGTCGATGCTTTTCTCGCCGGAGATCCGCCAGGCGGGCGACAGCTTCGTGAAGTCCGTGCTCGGAGGACCACGGGGGCCTGGCCGAGGAGGAGGAAGGAGGAGGATAAGTAGGAGTAGGGGGAGGGAGGGAGGGAGGAGGAGGAGGAGGAGGAGGAGGAGGAGCTGGGGGGGAGGAGGGGGAGGAGGAATTTGAAAAGGATGAGGAGGACGACCACGAGCGGGATGAACATGGGGAAGAGGATGACCATGACACGATAATTAGGAGAGGGGGAGGAGGAGGAGTTACAGGAGAAAGAGGAGGAGGAGGAGGAGGAGGAGGAGGAGGAGCAGGCGATAGAGATGGAGGAGTGGAAGGAGGGGGAACAACATATCTTACGGAAAGGGGGAGTCGACGAAGAGAGAGGAATAACGATGGAGGAGAAGGAGGAGGGGGAGGGGAGAGGGACATGCTAGGTGCACTCGCGTCATATCTGACGCCCTACCCCTCCCTCCCATCCCTTTACCATGGCGTAGATATCCTCCCGATTCGCACAGTCGGATGTCGTAGCATGGCATAGCATTACATGGCATAGCATGGTGTTGAAGATCAACGCGTAGCATGACATAGCATGGCGTGGCGACGCCCCAAAGTGGGGGGTTCCGCGGCCCCCAAAAATCAACGAATCAGCACCGAATGAGGAATCACTTTCGATGGTTTTTTCGGGGTGGCATGTTCTAGATTTTGGGGCCTATTTGGAAGGACCCGAAAACCATGCCGTGGCATGGCACTGGAAATAATAAAGCCAGCGCTGCAGTGGGAGCACGACTCGGAACGAGCGGAAGCGCGGAAATGAGGCCAGCGCATCAGCGGGAGCAACATTTTGGAACACAAACCCAATTTCCGGAATCATTTGTGTAAAAAGCAATGCGCGGAGGGGGGCCAGACATCTTTCGGACGTCATCAGGGGAGAGAGGAGAGTAGTATTCATATTGCGCAATTGTGGAGAACGAGGCGGTGAGGAGGAGGAGAAGGAGGAGGACGATGATGAGACGGATATGTAGGAGGGGTTGAGCAGAAGAGGAAGAGGAGGAGGAGGAGGAGGAGGAGGAGGAGGAGGAGGAAGAAGAAGACCACGAAGATGAGGACCTCAAAACGAGCAGGGGGAGGAGGATGATAAAGACAGGGAGGAGGAGGAGGAGGAGGAGGAGGAGGAGGAGGTTGCACTACACTAAGGAGCAGCGGAGGAGCAACGCTTTGTCAAGGCGTCGGCCTCTGCTGGTCTCGCAGAGCCCTGCTATTTACATCACTTAGCGCGCCTGCCTGAGAATCCGGTGCCTTCCTCTTCCTTACTCTCTGTCCCAGAGGCTCAGGTACCCCCCCAAAAACCTCCAGCATTAGATCCGAAGCTTAGGCCGACTCGCTCGTAGTTCGTCTAACGGCTTCCTGCTGCACGCTGTTGTGCCAGCATCATTGCGGTGAGACTCGCTGGTCGCGTTCCTCCTCCTCCTCCTCCTCCTCCTCCTCCTCCTCCTCCTTCCCCCATCCTCCTCCTCTTCTTCCTCCTCTTTCCCAGCCGCAGTGACGGGGTGGCCCTGGAAGCTGTTCATCAGGCGGGTGGGGGTGGGAGGGTAGACGCGACCACTCGCTGTTCCTCCCTCTGGGGCGAACGTCGGCGTGGCACTTTCTTCCCTGCGCCTTGGCGGCTGGCCTCCCCCCCTGCCTCGCCCTGCTGCTGCCCGGCGCCCCGTGCGGTCCCAAAGCGCGCTCGCCTCGCGGGCGTGCGCCGCCCGCCGCCGCCGGCCCCCCCCCCCCCACCTCCTCCTCCTCCTCCTCCTCCTCCTCCTCCTCCTCCTCCTCCTCCTCCCTCCTCTCCTCCTCCTCCTCCTCCCTCCTCACTCCTCCTCCTCCTCCTCCGCCTCCTCCTCCTCCTCCTCCTCTCCTCCCTCCTCACCCCCCCCTCCTCCTCCTCCTCACCTCCTCCTCCTCCTCCCCTCCTCCTCCTCCTCCTCCTCCTCCTCCTCCTCCATCCTCCCTCCTCCTCCTCCTCCTCCTCTCTCTCCTCCTCTCCTCCTCCTCCTCCTCCTCCTCCTCCTCCTCCCTCCCTCCTCCTCCTCCCCCCCCCCCTCCCTCCTCCTCCCCTCTCCTCCTCCTCCTCCTCCTCCTCCTCCTCCTCCTCCTACTCCTCCTCCTCCTCTCCTCCTCCTCCTCCTCCTCCTCCTCTCCTCCTCCTCCTCCTCCTCTCCTCCTCCTCCTCCTCCTCCTCCTCCTCCTCCTCCTCCTCCTCCTCCCTCTTCCCCACTGCACATCATCAACGGCGAGCTGCCCACCCAGGTCGGCCTTGGGCCCCCCGCCCCGCTCCCCCCCCCTCCCCCTCCTGCGCTGGGGCCCGGGTCGCCTGCGACTCCTCGGTCGCTCGGCGTCTGCCTCGTCTGCCCCGCCGCCCACAGCCAAAGGAAGCGCGGAGGGCGAGAGCTCCGCCCCACAGGTGTTGGGGGCCTCTGGGGTCCGCTCGTCACCACCCACCAACCCACCCCAACCCAAGCCGAAGGCCCCGATTTGCCATGCATTTCCAGTGGGGGGGGTCGGGGAACATCGAGAAAACACATATGGAACCCATACCCCCCCCCCCAACCCGAAATTCGGGTCTTCGGGTTGGGTTGGGGTGGTCTGGTAGGTAGTCAGCTCGGCCGCAGCCGCGGGCCTCGGGCGGCCGCCGCGGGCGCGGCGCAGAGAGGGCCCTCGGCGAGGCGCGGCGGCGCCTTTGGCCGGCGGCGGCGCCTCTCGGCAGGCGGCGGCCACGCCAGCAGCAGCGGCGGCCACCGCCAGGGGTGGCGGCGTGCGGCGGCGGCGGGGATGGCAACGGCGGCGGCAGCGGCGGCCGGGCGGCCGGGCGGCCGGGAGGGCGGCCGTACCTCTCCGCGCACTGCCGGCGCACGGATTTCCTGCGCGTGCGCACGGAGACGACGCCGTCGGCGGGGGTCATCGCGGCACAGCTCAACAAGGCCGCCAGGGCTGCTCCTCCTCCGGGGGGCTGCACACGTCGTCGTCGGCGCCAGCATCGTCGTCGTCGCACCAGGGCGCCCGCCAGGGCTCCTCCTCCTCCTCCTCCTCCTCCTCCTCCTCCCTCCTCCTCCTCTCCTCCCTCCTCCTCCTCCCTCCTCCTCCTCCTCCTCCTCCTCCTCCTCCTCCTCCTCCTCCTCCTCCTCCTCCTCCTCCTCCTCCTAGCGCCAGCTGGCACGAGCGCGACGCGCCTGGCCAGCCAGCGCCAAGGGCGCCGCACGGGCGCCGCGCCCCCCCCCCCCTCCCCACTCGCCGTCCCGGCACCCCCAGCCGGCATGGAGGCGGCCGCGCCCCGCGGCGCCGGCGGCCGAACCGCCCTGCCGCCGCGCGCCGCGCGCAGGAGCGCCGCGCCGAGGGCCGCACGGCGCAGAGGCTGCTGGCGGCCTTCATGGCGCTCGACGGCCACAGAGGCTGCCAGCCCACCCTGCTGGGGGCAGCCTTGGCAGAGGCCCTCCGCGGCGGCAGGCGCCAGGAGGCCGCAGAGCTCGCGGAGGCGGAGACGGCCGACGAGACGCTGCTGGAGGCAAGGCGCGGCGACCTGCAGCTGGCGGCCGAAGAAGCGGCTGCCGCGGCGCTGGCTGCCGCCCGCGCCCCTGGGCCTGCGCAGCACCTCCTGGACCAGCTCAGGCGCGAGGCCGCGACCGAGCGGCTGGCGGAGGCTGCGCGGGGCGCCGAGGCCGAAGCCGCGCGCCAGACGGAGGCGGAGAGCACGGCCGCCGCTGCCGCGCCCTGCGAGAGCCTGAGCGAGGCGAGCTCCGAGGCCCAGCGGGCGAGGCTGCAGGCCGACGAGCAACAGGCCGCTGCGGCGGCCGCGCCGAGCAGCCCCGCTGGCGAAGGAGGCGCCGCCGAGGGCGAGGTGGCGCCCACGCGAGGCAGGCCGGAGGCCGAGCGCCTGGCCGACGCGCAGCGCCGCGCCGCGGACGCCCTCGCGCAGCTGGCCGCGACGCACAGCCCGAAGCTGGCCGAGGCGCGGACGGCGAGCGCCGAGGGGCGGACGGCGCGGGCCGAGGGCCGAGGCGCGGACGCCCGCGCGAAGCTGGCAGAGGCAGAGGCCGCGCTCCAGCAGGCGCTGGCCGCACGCCAGGGGGCCGCTGAGGCCGCGAAGGAGGTCAAGCGCCTGGAGACCGAAGCGGAGTACGACGCGGGCGCGGAGAAGCAGGACGAGGGGGCGGACAGGAGTGCTGCCTCAGCGGACAGACCTGGCCCTGTGTCTGTCCGCGGGGTAGAGGGGGGCGGTGGCCAGACGGTCGCGCGGCCTCCCGCGGCGCCCGAGCGCGGCCGCCCCATACCCCGAGAGGGAGCCCCTTGAGAATGGGGGCATACCCGGGGGAGGGGCACAAGCGCCGGGGGCGTCGCGAAGCTTCTCGACCAAGTCGTCACGGAAACAGTCTGGGAAACAGGCTCCTCCTCCTCCTCCTCCTCCTCCTCTTCCTCCTCCTCCTCCTCCCCCTCCTCCTCTTCCTCCTCCTCCTCCTCCTCCTCCTCCTCCTCCTCCTCCTCCTCCTCCTCCTCCTCCTCCTCCTCTTGGGAGTCGTGATCGCTGCGTGTGCTGGCCTCTTCTCTCTTGGTGTGGCTTGCCGCTGGCTCAGTGTGGGGATGGTGCATGGCGCCTTGGTGCAGAGAGGGTCCTCTTCCGTAGCTGCAGCGCATCTTTCTTGTCTGGCAGTGCTACCCTGAGATCCGAGCGTTGCACGTTTTGCGCAGCGGGCGTTTTCGATCGGTTTCGGGCCCCGCGACATTATGCGACATTCACGGATCGATCTGGCTCGAACAATGCAGCAGAACGATGTGGCTTGGGGGTCCAGTCGTGATTTGTCGCGATGTTGCGAATGTTTCGCAACGTCGGATCTCAGAGCGCCGCTCCTGGTCTTTCCTGGGGAGTCGGAGGCGGCTCATGTCGTCATCGGCATCGGCATCGTTGTCGTCGGGGGGCGTCGCGGCGCAGCCCAACAATGCTGCCATGGGGGGAACGGCGCACGCCGTCGTCGGCGTCGGCGGTGTCATCGTCAAGGCGGCGTCGTCGGGGTCGAGTCGAGGCGAAGTCTGAGCGATGGAGGAGGATGGGGGACGGGGCGGAGCAGGGAGAATGGGGTGGAGAAGGAGAGGGTGAAGTTTGTGAACTGTGACAAGGGGAGTGGGGAGGGACCTGGTGAGTGGACTTCCCGGCTTCCCCCGGGCCTCGTCCTCTCTCCTCCCCTTGCATGCGTCCCCCCTGTCAGCCCTTCTCCGCCTCTCAATCCTCTCCTGCGTCTTTCTGATGCCTCCATCCTCGTCCTCCCCTTCCCCAGCGCCGTCCCTCTCCATTCTTGGCCACTCTCGCCCCATCCTGCTCCTCTCCCCCTTCCTCCTCCGTATTTCCCCCTCCGTCCTCCCTCGCCCCCTCTCCATCAACGCCCGCCTTCGCCGCCGCCTCGTGGCCGCCGCCGCCACTTCCCGCCGCCTTCGTCACCGCCTTCGGAGTCGCCCCCGCCGCCGCCGTGGTCGCCGTCGTCGTCGTCGTCGTCGTCGTCGTCGTCGTCGTCGTCGTCGTCGTCGTCGTCGTCGTCGTCGTCGTCGTCGTCGTCGTCGTCGTCGTCGCCGTCGCCGTCGCCGTCGCCGTCGCCGTCGCCGTCGCCGTCGCCGTCGCCGCCGCCCACGGCCCGCGGGGAGGCGCTGGAGGAGACCGGGCTGGGCCAGGTGTTCGTGGCAACGGACGCGCCCGAGGACCTGCGGGAGGAGCTCCGGGCCGAGGCGGGGCGGCTGCGGCGACAGGGCGCCGATGCGGCAGCTGCTGCTCGTCGTCGTCTTCCTCCTCCTCCTCCTCCTCCTCCTCCTCCTCCTCCTCCGCCTCCGCCTCCTCCGCCTCCTCCTCCTCCTCCTCCTCCTCCTCCTTCTCTCCTCCTTCCTCCTCCTCCTCCTCCTCCTCCTCCTCTCCTCCTCCTCTCCCTCCTCCTCCTCCTCCTCCTCCTCCTCCTCCTCCTCCTCCTCCTCTCCTCCTCCTCCTCCTCCTCCTCCTCCGCCTCCGCCTCCTCCTCCTCCTCCTCCTCCTCCTCCTCCTCCTCCTCCTCCTCCTCCTCCTCCTCCGCCTGTCGCTGACATCAGGCATGCTGCGCAATGCCGCGTCTCCTTCGTCTTCTTCTGCCTGCCGCTTCCTACTGCACAGTCTTTCCTCATCCTCCTCCTTTTCGTCCTCCTCCTCCTCGTTCTTCTCTTTTCGCTCCTGCTGATGCGCATCTTCCTCCTCCCCCTCCTCCTCCTTCTCCTCCTCCTGCTCCTGATTCCTGAGTCCTGGCGGTTGGAAAGAACGTCATTCGTAGCCATCCCCCCCAGGACCGATCGGCCCTGAGGGGCTGGTCATACTAAAGACAGGCGACTCTTGGAGCACCGCTCCAGGAGTCACCAGCTGGCGGGGAAACCGTAAAACGGCAGAAGAGACAGACAGACCGACAGTCGAGGAGAGGAAGAGCAGAGAAGAAGGATATCCTCGATCGTGACCTCGAAGGAAGTCGATAAGAGAGAGGTAGCTGTGCGTGGCGGCAGTGGTACTGGTGGCGGTGAAAAAGGGGTCGGGGGCCCCTGGGGCCTCCTCCTCCTCCTCCTCCTCCTCCTCCTCCTCACCCTCCTGCTCTCGCCCCTCCCCTCGTCCTGCACAGTAACTCAATATGAATGGTACTTCCCCTTCTGCCCTGACTCTGTGCGGAAGAGATCCTGCCTTCTTCGAGTATCTTTGAGTTGTTTCCTCATCGGAACGTTCCCGGTGTTTGCAGATGGTGCTCCCGCTGCAGCCTGTGTCTTATTTTGTGTTTGGCACTTTGCTCCCGTCGTTCAGAATGGCGCTCTCGCCCCAGCGCGGACCACGTTTCTGGGTCCGAATCCTTCTTCATCGTTGTCGCCCCCCTCCGTTCCCCTCCTCCGCATTCCCCTGGTCCTACTGCTCCTCCCGCTTCTTCCACTCCAGCTCATGCTGCTGCTCCACCTCATCCACCGATTCATCCGCCACCTCCTCCTTCGATGCGCGCAACTCCCACTTCCCGATTGCGCAAAATGCAATGGGGGGTCCTTTTTGGAGTTCCAGGTCCGCTATGTCAAGAGTCGGCGAATAGAATCGAGAAACAATCAGCGCACTGGGAAGGGATGGGTGGGCGAGGTAGGATGTCAAGCATGGCGCGAGCGCACCTGGCTTATCCTTTTGCCCTCCTGCGTCCTCCCCCTCCTCCGCCGCCTCCCCTCCTCATCCTCCTCGGCTCCGTCCGCCCTCCCTCTCCATCTCCCTTCCTGGGCTCCCTCCCGTCCCCCTCCCTCTCGTCCCCGTCCCTGCTCTACCTCCCTTTCTCCTGTCCGATCGCCCTCATCCTTTCCCTTCCCCCATCCCCATCCACCATCGTTTCATCTCTCTGGCGTCCCTGTTCAGGCGCGGTCCTGGGACGTGCAGAGATACCCAGGCTGGCGCTTGACGGTGATGATGAATTGTCTTCTCTGCGGTAGCCGTCGGCTCACCTGTCCGCCATGTCGCACTGTAGGTCGGACCATCTTTTCTAGGACAGCCCACCACCAAAGTGCGAAATTCCACCCCTCTCCCTCCTTCACTCCCTTCCTTCCGCTCCTCATTTCCCCCCCATTCCCTCCCTCTCTTCCCTTCTTCTCCCTCATCCACGGCCTCCTCCTCTCCGTCAAAAGTCTGCGCCTCCCTCGCCTCCTCGCCCTCCCCTCTGCTCCCCTCACCCTTGCCTCGTCGCCCCCGCGCCCTTCCCCTCGCCCTTCCCCCTCGCCCTTCCCCCACGCCCTTCCCCTCGCCCTTCCCCTCGCCCTTCCCCCTCGCCTTCCCTCGCCCTCGCGGCGTCGGGAGTTCCCCCCCTTGCCCTCGCAGAAAAGCCTGCCCGCGGAGCTCGAAGAGCGGACAGAGGCTCCTTCCAGGAAGACCAACCTGGCCTGCCCGGAGCCCCCACCTCGCCGCGACTTTTCTCACACAAGGCGTGGGGCGCCCAGGAGGCCGGGACCCCTGCCCAGGAGCGGGCTTTTCGTCCCGAGCCGTCTTTGGCCGCCCGGGAGCCGGAAGTTCCAGAGCCATCTGTTTTCGGGGGGGGCGGGCGGGGGGGGGGGACGGGCACGGGGCGGGAGGAAGAGGAGAGAGGCGGAGGGGCGAAGGAGGCATGGGGGAGGGGCAGAGGAAGAGGCACGAGGAAGAGGGAGGGGGGGGAGGGGCAGAGGAGGGGGAGGCAAGAGGAGAGGAGGAGGGGAGAGGAGGAAGCCGATGCGCCGGCCCCACAGCAGCAGCGCCTCCCACGCCGTGGCCCCCCCGCGGCGCGAGGGCCTCGCGAGCGCCCCCGCGGCGTGCCGCCCGAGAGGTGCGCGGCGCGGTGCACTTCTACGCGGACCCGGGCGCGGGCCCCGCGCTCGACCACCCGGGGAAGCAGGCCTCGCCCGCGCGCCGTCGCCCGCGCGCCGTCGCCCGCGCGCCGCCGGTCGCGGCCGCCGCCGTCGTTGCCGGCTCGCCGCCGCCATGGGCCGCCGCCGCCGCTCGTCGGCCGCCGGCTGCGGCGGCAACGGCCGGCGTCGTCGATCGGCGACGGTCGCCGGTCGCCGGTCGCTGGTCGTCGGTCGTCGGTCGCGGTCGTCGTCGTCGTCGTCGTCGTCGTCGTCGTCGTCGTCGTCGTCGTCGTCGTCGTCGTCGTCGTCGTCGTCGGCCGTCGTCGTTGTCGTCGGCCGTCGTCGGCCGTCGTCTTCGTCATCGTCGTCGTCGTCGTCGTCGTAGAGGTCGTCGTAGAGGTCGTCGTAGAGGTCATCGCGGGTCGCCAATCGCTGGTCGTCGTCGTTCGGCAGGTCGGCGTCGTCGTTGTCGTCGGTCGTCGGTCATCAGACGTCGGTGGTGGTGGTGGTTGTCGCCGGCCACTGCTGGCTTTCGTCGTCGGTCTTCATCGCCGACGTCGTTGTCATCTCCTCCTCGTCCTCCTTCCCCCTGTTCGTTTTCCTTCCCATCGTTGTCCTTTTTCCCATCATCCTTCCCCAATCAGTGCTTGCACCCGAGGGATTCGCATAAAGATTGCAAGATTTGGCGAAAGCAGGCCGCCGATTTCGGTAGGCGGCCGGGTTCCCAGGTTCCCGCTGCAGGATCGTGGAATCCCAACACAGATGACGGTAGGCGTTTTGGTTCTTTGTCTCCTGGTTTGAAAGCCTTCGTGGGGAAATCCCGCCGGTTCCAGTGGGCGGCCAGTTTCTGCGGGCTATCCCAGAATAGAGAATACAGAAAGTAGAGAAGTAGAGCGAGTGGAAAGAGTGAAGAAAGCAGAGGGAGAAAGAGAGAGAGAGAGAGAGAGATTAGAGATGGAGACAGAGGCAGAGACAGAGACAGAGGAGAGAGTAGAGAGTAGAAGGTAGAGTGGAGCGTACGTAGTGTATATACTAGCCTTTGGCCCATCCGTCCTCCGCGTCAGGGTCGTAAACAAGAATCCTTGTTCAATGCCTCTTGAACGCCTTCATGGGGCCTCTTGAAGGCCTGTGGGGGCCGCTTGGGGGTCCTGCTGGCTGCTTCTGGGGCAGTCTTGGTGGAGGACTTCAACTTGCGATCCGAGTTTTCGTGCTGGGCCCTGAGCATAGCTCAGCGAAAGGCGAGCAGAAAGCAGAGAGCCACGGTTGGGGCATCGAGAGTCGAGAGTAGAGCGCGGAGAACGCAATGTGGAGAACGGAGGGTGGATGGTGGAGGGCAGAAATCAAATTTAGAGGGGTGAAGAGTCGAGGGCAGTGGAAAACAGGGGTCAGGCAGCGCGGAGTTGTCCGTCATTGTCTGATCTCGCCCACGACCAGCCCGGCACTTTACGTTGCGAGCAGCCGATTGGGGCGTCTGGATTGTACGCAGTTGTCCTTGTCCTAATCCTCCCCCTCCTCCTCCTCCCACTCCCCGTCATCCTCCCTCTTACTCAAATTTTCCTTCTCCGCCCTTTCTTCTTCCTGTCCTCCTCCTCCTCCTTTTCCTGATGAGCCAAGGCTTGACCTGGTCTCCTCAGCCAATCGAGCCGAGCCAGTCGTCCTCCTCCACCTCATCTCATCGCTGGGCCTGACGATGATGAGAAGGAGCAGCAGCAGCAGCAGGAAGTGGAGCAGGTGCTGGCAGGGAGGCCACCACGACATCAGGCTCGGGAGTGGAGCAGCCAGAGCGCGCAGAAGAGAGGGCGCGCGCAGGCTACGAATGGAGAGGAAGAGGCGGGCGGAAGCAGACGAGGCAAGGGGCGAGACAATGCTGACGAGGAGGAGGAGGAGGAGGAGGAGGAGGAGGAGGAGGAGGAGGAGGAGGAGGAGGAGGAGGAGGAGGGAGGGGGAACAAGGCATCGGAACGGGGCGCGGAAGAGCAAAAAGAGGGCGAGAGGCGAGGGGGAAGCGGAACCGGGGGGGACGGGACGGAGGCAGGCGCCACGGAGGAGGAGGAGGAGGGCCGGGCGTGCGAGGAGTGCGAGGGCCTGCAGCCTCGGGAGGAGCTCCGTGCCCCCGCGGGCGCGCCGCCTGCCGCCCCTCCCCCGGGGGGGCGGGGCGGCCGCGCCGGCGCCAGGCCCCGCCGTGGCCGGCCTCGGGCGCGCGCGCCGCGCACGCGGCGCACGGTGCCGTCGCCGCGTCGGCCCGGGCAGTGTTTGCGCCGAGCGCCGCCTCCGCCCCCGGCCCGGGCCGCTCCCCGATAGCAGAAAGTCGGGCCTGGTGCCCCTGCAGGGGGATTTTCGACGAGCAACAAAAAGTACCCCAAAAATAGTCCAAAAATAATCTGGGGGCTATTTCTGGGTATTTGTTCACCTTTTTTGACTGTTTTTGGGGGTCTTTTTTTATTTCTTCGTCGAAAATCCTCCCGTAGGGGGACACGCCCGACATAACCCTAGCACCTCCAGCTGCGGGCAAGGGTTCTATGTGCATCCACGTCCACTGCGCCGCGGGCGTTCTGGGAGGGGGCGCCGAGGGGCCGAAGCGCCGCGGCTGTGGGCGGAGATCTGGCCTCCGGGGGCCAGGCTCTCGTGCAGATCCCCTGCGCCTCGGGCGTCTGGAGAGGGGAGCGCCCGAAACACCGAAGATGCAGTGGATGTGGGCACATACCTTGCCCCTACCAACCGCCGAGAAGATGGCGCCCAAGCGCGGCCGTGCCTCCACCGGGCTCTCGAGGAAGAGGAAGAGCCACGATTCAGAGGATGAGCAGGTACCGACACCGCTCCCCCTCCCTCGTCGCCGCGGCAGGATTCGCCTCGGAGTCCTGCCCGGAGCGCACCCCGGGAGACGTCCGTGGAGTAGCGGTATCGGTATCTGCTCGCCCCCCCGACAAGCATAGATTTGCGTGGGTCCGCGCGGATCTCTTGGATCGGAACTGGGCCCCCCTGTGGGCGCCTCTGGCGCCGCTCCTGGCGTGCGCCGCGCGCCATGCGAGGGGAGTCCAGCGCTGATTTTAAGCAGTCAGCGCGGATCAACGAGAGTTGACGTTTGCGTGCGTAGATGTTTGCTTCCGCGGCCCAGAAAGGCCATGTCCTGACCTTTTCCATGCTCGGTCCCAGGAAAGCCCGACCCTTTCCCCGGGGCTGGCTTTTCATCCCGAGTCGTTCTTTGACGGCCCTGGGGCCTGGCGAGGGCCCCCCTGCACCCAGAAGCGGCCAAATCCCGCCCGTCGCTTCTATTTGACACGACGCGAGCACGTCTTTTTGGCTCAAGGGTATTTTTGGGGCTCAACGTTCGCAGGGAGAAAAGCGGGTCTTAAGTAACATTCCCTTTTGTTATTATATTATTACAATCCCCTTTACTCTCACACCACCTCTGTGGGCTGCGATGTCTTCTTCGGGTTCTGGTGTTGACACGCGCTTCCCAGGCACCCCTGTGCGACAGTTGTTCAAGGCAGAGAAGCACAGCATCGCCTCGCCGACCTCTTCACCAGCAGCACCTCCGGCAGCCCAAACTGCTCGTGTCAGCAGCCCGCTGAACGAGATGGATGGCATGGATGTGGGGGCACCAGCACCCGCAGGAACATCAAGACCTGCAGCAGGACCACTCGAACATCCAGAGGGCAGAAATACACCAAAAGTACAGAAAAGTACGCCGACAACAGCTTCAAAACAGTCGTGTGGAAGCGTCGGGTGCCGGGCTTACCGCGGACACTTATGAGGCCACTCTGAACAAGCGTTTGGAGCCTATCAAAAACGACATGCGGGCCATCAAGCAGCATGGCATTTTACAGGATGACCTCAAGAATACGTTGGACCCGTGAAGAAAGTCCGACATGCGAATCTTATGCGAGATGGCAAGTCTGTGTGGGCCACGCCTGACCGTCCGCCCCTAGCCCGGGCAGCACACAACTTCTGTTTTGGTCTGAAGTACTGTTTGAAAAACGGCATGGGCATGGACTACACCATACGGGTTCGCGACCAAATCCCAGATTCAGTTGAATTTAGTGGTGAACTTGCGATTACGTGGCGAATCGACGGGAGTACTATCAAACGGACGTGGGCGAATGACTGGGACAAGTGGTCCGAGAATCGCGCTCACCCTAAGTTCCAAGAGCTCCAGCAATCCTGCGACGACATCATGGCGAGGGCCGCCGAAGGGAGGAAAGGTGGAGCCAAAGAGGTATCAAAAGGCTGTTCCAAGTAGAAAATTCGGTCGGTGCGAATGCGCAGAAGCACCGCAGCCGACCAAACAGAAGATACGCGATTTCAAAGTAGTGGAAATTCGGGTAAAGATACCGATCGATCCACTATCGTGGAACCATCCGCGCACGTGTTTCGTCCACTCCAAGTTTTCGGTGGTCGTCTAGAGATCGGTGCCGCGACGGACGTGGACCATATATCTACTGATTCCTCTTCTGCGCTTTCGGCCGTTACGGGACCGTCCGCCAGCTCATCGGCCAGGAGGGTGCTGGCAAGTTTGCTAGAAACATGCCTACCTCTACTACCATTTCCGCGGGGCAGGCGCAGCTACCTACATCCCGCCTGTTTCACCACCCCCTATTTTAGCGCGATCATCCCACGACGGCGTACGCGGTAATGCCAACATACGTGCAGAACGTTGGAAACAGTCACAAGTTGGAAAACATGAATGCCATCGGCGGTTGAGTAAACCCTTGGGAAAGCAGTATATTGCCAATTGGAGTATACAAGGGGCTCGGTAAAGACCACAACGACCTGACTGATATCCAGCATCACATGAATCATAACGACATCCGTATCCTTTGTATGCAATAGAGGCACGCTGTAGAATCGAATCAGTTTCTACGAGATTGGCAGCTGGTCATATTATCTGGGATTCAGGAAGAAGCTACAGACTATCTGTACTCTGTCGCGGGATTAGTGGTCGCTCCGAATGCGATCCACTCCATTGTTTGTTTCAATTTGTCAGGAGACCAACTTGCAACTCTCAAGATCAAGGTAGGTGGTGGGATGTTGAAAATTATGAGTCCGCG